CTAGGAACAAGGGGCATCGCTACTAGGCACAAGGACGCTACTAGTAGATCCTGGCATTACTACTAGGAGCAAGAAGCCACTAGGAACAAAGGGCATCGCTACTAGGAACAAGGACGCAACTAGTGGCTCCTGGCATTACTACTAGTAGCATTCTTGCTACTAGGAACAAAGAACATCGCTACTAGGAGCAAGGACGCTACTAGTTTGCGGAAGCGGTTGAATGATCCGGGCCACTCTTCCAGCATCAAAAGTTGCTGGACTCAACCCCTTGCCCCGATGCTGGCACGGGCCACATGGCTAGTTCCCACACTCACCTATTCACCTCAAATTATATATAACACGATATCCAAGGTCCAAGACGACATTCCCCTACTTGCGGGGAATCCGTTAGAGCCAATAGCTACACAGCACGCTGGGCGGCCGGCCGGCTGGCCCCTACCTTTCTCGTAACTGCCATAGCTATACTTACACACTACATCCCACCACTACTACTACTACTACTTCTCCTCCTCCTCCTGCTGCTGCTGCTCCTACGCCTACGACGATGACGACGACGACGACTACCACGATGACGACGACAACATCCACCACAACCACAACCGCAACCACTACGACTACAACTACGACGGCGACTGCTGCTGCTGCTGCTGCTACTATTTCGTATTGGTACTTGCTTACGACGACGACGACTACAACTAAGACTACTGCGGCTACTGCTACTACTGCTACTGCTACTTTTTCTTCTGCTGCTTTTGCTACTTTGCTAGTCGAGCCCGTAACTATCCCCAGCCAGCCGGCCGGCCGGCAGCGAAATAGCGGACCAGGTTGCTCGCGCTGTCGGATGGTTTGTCCAACCTCTTACTTTGAACAAATGCTGGAACAACATCCGTGCTGCTGCCTCAGGCACTTGAACAAAAATATGGAAGTGTGTTTTGTCCTTCACGCTGCTGGCTTCTTTCCTGTGAGGTAGACCAGCGGTGTGCGGTGATGGAGCTGGAGGATGGAGAGTGCATCACCTTCAAGTTTGGCCATGAGGAAGCTTGTGAGCGTTTCATCCTCTGCATGCGGATTCTCATTGACCAGAACCGCCAGTGCTTCAACTTTGATGCCGTGTCCAAGCCCTCCAAACCGGCCAAGGGCTCCCGGTCGGGCTCCAGGTCTGCTCTCGGGAAGAAGGGGAAAATGGATGCCAAAGAGCAGAATGCGACCCAGGCGCCTCGAATGTTCTTAGCTTGTTCCTGGTGTTGCTGTCGTCGTTGTCGTAGTCGGCAGTTGAATAGGGGACCACAGAACAGGGATAGGTGACCAGATGTGACCAGATTCACTGCAGCAGGTTGCCAGATGAACTTGGAAAGCTATGGCCAGCGCCTGGATTACACGTAGGAAGTCTCTGACTGACAAGCAGACATCTTTATGCCTCTCCAGCCGACCCTCTTTGGGCATAGTCCTCCAAGGTGCTCATCGAAGCTTTTGTGCGGCAGATGGTGAAGGGCTGTGAGCTGAGTGTCCCCAGTGGTGGCGGTGGTTCGCAGCAGGTGGTTTGCTCTTTGGATGCTGATCTCAAATCCATGTGGGTCAGCACCTTGGTTGGCCAGCGATATGCTTTTCTTGAGTCAATTACCCCCCATACTAGCACCCCCCCCGTGTTAAGTGCTTGTATTTTTTACTGTACACAGCATGGGCAGTGATGGTCGAGGAAGTTAAGCCGCGTTCATGCAAGATGTCGAACGAAAAGATACGGTGTCTGAAGGATTGTGGATGGGCTGCACTGTAGTGCCAAGATGGTTGACATGGCATGGTTTTTAAGCTTTAGGTTTATAATGCCGTATTTAGATAAAGTTTGATGGTGGACTTCAAGTTGTGGAACAGCAGTCCATGGATCTACGTGCAGAGAGTGTTGCTGAAAGGATTCGGTTGGGCTTGGTCATGTTCAAGGCCTGTCCCTCACACCACATCTGTTACATGTGCAAAAGACCAGAGGAGGTGACTTGAGTCTAGATTGCGCAGTCACCCCGCTGTGCCCGCATGGGGATTGGGCTGGGGCCACCAAACGTGGAGTGCGCTCCAAATGACTCAGGAGCGAGCGACAGCTCTCAAAAGCAGATTTCCCTCTCGTCCCTCAAGGCAGTACATGTTGGGGCTGCAGCCGAAGCACTGCAGCTCTCCGTCCAGGCGCGGCCGCGCCTTGCTTGTGCCTTTTTTGAGGTCAACCTCCTAAGCCCGTTCTTGACCCAAGTCCGACCAGGTGACCTGAAAAAGATTTGGGGCTTCTCTTGAAGTCAGACTGTATGTGCACCACCATCCCATGGCCAGGTCACCAAGAGTGATCCATCAGCAGTCCTGGAACTGAACTCGGGCGATTGTTTAACGTTATGCTTCCCAGGCACCGAAGAGAGGGACCGCTTCGCCATTTGCATGCGGATTTTCGCCGCAGCGCACGTGGGAAGTGGTGCGAGCACGGAAAAAGGCAACGGCGAGCGGCGAGGGACGGTGTTGACTTCCGCAGACGCGACATGAAGGCATGCTACACATACACCTTTTTCATCCTCCTTCAATTTTCCTTTACAAAATCAACCTGCCTGGGTAACAAAAAGAGCTTCGATATTGTAAACAAAAAAGATCAAAAAAGCTTATTTCCAGGTACCCATTTTTGTGGGGGTGGGGTGGGTGATTTTGTAAGGGCAGCATTCTTTCTTGGGGCTGTTGATTTTGTAAAGAACGATATGTTGGTATGGAGGTCCCAAGTGCCGCACTGTTGAGGGTGGGATCCTTGATTTTATGCAAGTTTGAGGGTGGGGTGGTTGTCCTTGTGTAGAACATGGACAGTTGATTCTGTAATCGATTGACCTGCTGTAAAGCATGGACAGTTGATTTTGTAGTGGGTTGAGCTGCTGTAGAACATGGTCTCATGAATTCTCAATAATTCGCATAATTTTTCATGATTCGCATAATTGCTGAATGACCGACTGGCTGTGTTTCACAAGCGCCCAAAATTGCATGTTGCCCAGGCCAGTAAAGGCATATAAAAGCAATTTGGAAACATTTAGAAAGAACAAGAGTCATGATGTTCTGGGAAGCTCCAAAGAAAAACAAGACATCGATGTCTCGCACTGGTGCAAAACATTCTGCGAAGTTGACCAACTCTTCGAAATGGTTCTCTGCTGCGTACCACCTGGCAGCAAGGCCCTCATCTTTTGGTTCACCTGTTCGCCTGGGTTCCCTGATTCCGTAATGCATCGAGCTTTGAGGGTAGTGATTTTGTAATCTAGGTTTTGTCTAAATATCTTGGGATCCCTGATTCTGTAATGAAATTGCACCGCAGCATTACAAAATCGTTAGTTTTTTCCAACCCAGGTTGAATGATTGAGATTTTGTATCTTGTTTGAGACCTCAGGGAGGTTGATTTTGTAATTGCGCTGAGCCATGTCGACAGAGTGCATATGATTTTGCAATGACTGTATCTTGAGACTGACAGTTGATTTTGTAATATCGGCTGGAGAGTTGTCCCTTGCCTGCGTCCTGGGGGGCTTGATTTTGTAAAGCTTTTCAGATGGGCGAACCTGGGGTGGTTGATTCTGTGGCACATTTTCCTTAAAGAATCAACCACCCCTACATACTCCAGTAATTCGAAGAGGGATCCTTTTTCAAATGCCGGTCATTCATTCATTGGAATCTATTCTAAAAGCATGTCGATTTTTTGGTACTATGATGCAATATTGGTTCTCACTAAGCCTGCGAATCAGGAGTATGCTTTTGCTGGCCAGCTGTCTTCCAGCATTGGGCCAGTAATGGATCAATCCCAGTGGACACTGGCACCTTCCAAGGATGTATCATGTCGCATCCACTTGCTTTTATGAGGGCCCCTTGGCAGGTTTGCAAGACCTCCAACGAAAAACGACACCGACATGATGCCTGGCAAACAACAATCTCTGAACAACAAGGACTTTAGAAAGAGGATGAGAAAGATTTTTTCAGGGCCGATGGGGGGCCACGGTTTGACACTGAAAGGGTGGTGAGCACCAGCACGATCCGAAGGGCTGACTATATACTCGGTCGAAGCCAAGGAGCTTTGTGGCTCTTCTGTGGACCTCGCAGCAGTTGGTGTCCTGTTCAGCAATTTGGGCGTTTCCCGTGTTTTTCTTGCTGGCTGAGGGTCCTATGGTGGCCACGAAGTGTTTGGGGGTCCTATGGACCCGCTCCAAAGAACTTATCTAATTATATATAGAGTATATAAAATTATGTACAGTATTTTTGGTATGTGTAGCCAATTTGTACATAAACACTCTTTGCCAAAAACTCAATGGCCATGAATCTTTCAGAGGTATTGAGGGGATTGGTCCTGGAGGCTGCCCCACCTCACAGCGACGTGATTCCGACGGACCTGGTGGCCCGTTCGGTGCTGCCAAGGTGCCAACTGATGCCGCGTAGCACGGAACCCCACTAGAAGGGAAAGGCAGTCGACCAGAACTGCACAGCTGCACAGTATGTGCTAAGCTGCTCTAAGCTGTGTCACTTCGGCGAAAGTTGGAGAATCAGTTATAGTGTAGGTGAGATCATGATCATTTGAGGCACTCTGTAGCAACCAACCGTTGGAGAAACAGTCAAGAAGATCGTCAAAGACCCATTGAGAAATGCATGAATACTTCAAAACGTGTTCGGCGAGTTCAGAGTAGATGGTAAGAAACCACATTGGAGAGGGGTCCATCCTCGCTTCATTGTTTGGTGCCTGTGCCGTCCACGGTGAATCTACTCCCATGTTGGAGGCCCAAGCTCATCAGTGCTACCGGACCAAGCTCATTCCAAACATGTCATAGTGACTTAGCAGATGAGTTTCCGACGCATTTGACGTGGATGCATGTGGTCCCCTCTTCCACCTCCGAATCATAGAGATTCATCGAGATCTCAATGTAATCGCAAAAAATTGCAGAATTGCGGTTTATTTTTTCTTGGGAAAAGCAACTTCTTTGCAACATCACCCATTGAGGTGCCCTTCTGACTTGGCCCCATGCGGCGAGACCGGTGCGGTCCCCCTGTGGAAGGCTCGGACCAAGCCATGAGAAACATGGCGTAAAGCCAGAGAGTTCTTCACCGGAGCACATCTAAGTAGACAGGTGTCCCAAGATGTCCCAAACACAAATGGAAAAGGACCTTCAATAGCGTCCTTGCTCCTAAAAGCGATGCCAGGAGCCCCTAGTAGCTTCTTGTTACTAGTAGTAAGGCCCTTTAGAAGAGGTTCAAGATATTTCAAGTGCTCTAGTTCAAGCATGTTCAAGCCACCTATTGCATCTATTGAGGCCGCCTTTGCGCGACAAGCTTGTGTCAGAGTGTGAAAGCTCACTTTGGTCAAAGTTGGTCAAGGCTGTCAAGGCTTCAGGGTCAGTTGAATTGACCTGTGGTGCATGCGCCCATCCCCCAAGACTCACCAATTCAACAACACGGGTCCTGAGTCCTGGCAACAAACTTTTGCGGTGCGGGTCCTGGCTTTTCACAGCTCGGTTTTGTGTCTTCGGCCGCTCCGGTGCGGTGCGTGGAAGTGGCCGAAGAGGTGGTGAAACCCACGGAGTTGCGAGTGGAAACCAGTGATATGGAATTCAGTAGTAACAAGACGCTACTAGTAACTGTCAATGAAGGACCCCTCTGTTGATTCCTGCTGACCGGTCGCCGTATAGGCACAAGGGTTTGCTGAAGGTAAAAGGACCGCGTCCCTTCCTGTTTTACATTGGTAGCGTTGAGCCGGTTCCGTATCCCGTGGATACGGCTTCTAGTGGACTTTTTGTTTGTGGTCTCCGTGGGTGGCTCGTGGGGTCTACTTGGGGTAAAAGGAGGACGCTATGCCTTCGCCAGCTGTTGCCGGAGAAGAAGGACCAGAAGATGATGGAGGAGAACGGACCGAGGAACGAGAAGATGCAGGTTCGGAGAGGACTTCCGAGAGGTCTTGGGAGAAGAGAGAATGGTCAGAAGCTGAATGGAGGCAATGGCACAGCTACTATGCGTGGGGGGCTACGCCTAGCGGCGGCGGCGGCGGCTCTGTCCAGGGGAATGGACCTGGGCCGTCTTCTTCGTTAGAGGGTTCTGCAGCTCCTACAGCTCCTCGTGGTTCTCAGGGCGATCCTTGGTGGACCTCACCAGGTGGAGATCCGTGGCAAGGTGGAGATGACCGTCGTGGAGGTTCCGGCGGCCACGATAAGATTCAGGTCCCCGAGTACTCTGGAGAAGATGATCGTGACGGTGTAAAAGCAAAGGGCTACATCCGGAAGGTTGACGCCTGGAGAAGGGTGACCCGCCTAGCTCGAAATAAGCAAGCACTCATGTTGTACAACAGCCTCTCAGGCCGAGCCTGGCGGGACGCTGAAGAGTTGGACCTCTCCGTGCTCGATGCCGACAATGGGGTGGAGATCTTCATATCCTGGATTCAGGACAAGTACATGGATCGAGAGGTCACCAAAGTCGGGCGCTACATGTCGGACTTCTTCAAAGTGCTTAAGAAGGGGAGCAACCAGGACATCAGGGACTTCAACCAGGAGTTCGATCGACAGGTCAGCCGAATGAAAGAGGTAGGATGCTCGTTGCCGGACACCTGCCTCGCCTGGTGGTATGTGGACAAGATGAGACTCGACAATGCCACGGAGCTCAACCTCCTTGCCTCAGTTGGGAATCTCTACAGCCTGAGCAAGCTCCAGGATGCTGCCATCATCCAGGACAGAATGAGCCGTCGGCTTTGGGAAAGACGTCATGACGGAGATCGACGCACTGAGGACAAGAAGAAGGGGCACCAGGCCCTCATGGCCTCCATGGACGATGAGGGTGAGATGGAGGACCGCGGGCCTCTCCGACCTCGAGGACGAGGAGTTCTTGGATGATGAGGCGACCCATGAGGCCTATGTAGCTTTCAGGAATGCCAAGAGCAAATACAGGGCTGCCCTCAAAGAAAGGGGGTTTCCTCAGTCCAAGGAGGTACGATTGCAACAAGCCAAGGCCAGAAGCTACTGTTCAGTATGTCGCAAGAAGGGTCATTGGCACAAGGATCCTGAATGCCCTGCGAACAAGGGGAAGACAAGTGGGGAACTGCACACTACTCATGTGGTCTACATGGCCGTGATTGACCAGGTTCCTGCAGCCGAGATCACCAACGACGAGGTGGACTTCTATGACGACCTCAACACCAAGGTGAATGTCTTCATGGACAATGAGGTGATCTACGACGACAACCCCTACTTCGAGGACATTGACCAGCGGTCGGCATGGAGCGCTTGCAGCCGGACTTTGGCCGGGCGTTCATGGACGGTGGCCTTCATCAACCACTTGAAGAAGGTCGGCGTTCCGTACTTCATCCTGAAGCAGAATGAGAACGTCTCTATCCATCAAAACAGGCTTTGGTGACCTGGCTCACCATCCACGGGGCCTGGTTTGCTGTGAAGATCAGTGTGGTTGGCGCAGATGTGCCACTGCTCTTGAGCCGACCTGCACTTGGAGCTCTGGGGATGCGCTATGACATAGCCCAGGGCATTGCTGACTTT